TTGGTTAAAATAAATTTTCACATAGGCTCACAAATTTGAAAACAGTGGAGAAAAGAGAGTTATTTTTATTTTGTATTCACGACACATTTATTTATCACAGGTATGTCTGTGTTGTTATATGCTGTTAATTTTATTGTCTTGTTTAGTTTTGGCAGTGGTTTTAGCTTGTAGTAATATTTTGTTGGTAAGACATTTATACCTGCTCCAGAGTCGGTTTTAAAATCCATGTGGGTTTTGTTTATTTTCATACTTATGGTCCATTTATCAGTTTTATTTTTGTTTGTATTTTTTCATATTTATGCAACCTAGGTATAAATTTTCCTTTTTTGTTTCATTGCAAAAATCAGTGTTTAGTTTGTTTATAGACTTTGAAAAGCACATTTTTTTTTTTAAATGTCCTTTTTAAGAACATTTAGGGCAGAATGTGTGAAATGCTGAACATGCTGCTTTTTTGTGTGAGTTTCTACAGTAACCACAATTATTAATTTAGTTTTTATTTATATTGGAAGTCTCATTATATTGTGTTAGTTGGTTTATGAGGGGTTTTCTTTTTTATGTGTTTATGGACCTTATGAATGCTATGTCCGTCTTCTATTTTTCTTTTGGCCCTAATTGTTTTTTTACACATGAGATATCCAAAAGAGCAGAGGAGTGAAACATACCTCCCCAAAATATTTCTCCATAGTTTTTTTTAATAAAATAACCTATTCAGTAAAAAAAACAAAAAAACAAACAAAATAAATGAACACTATTTACATTCCCCAGACAGTTATACTCATTTTTTTGCTATATTCATGACGTTTTGACCATTGTACATTTCAGTCATTGTACGCTCCAGCCTTCTTCAGGTGATTGGAACTTTGAACGGAACACGTTATTTCGTCCACTGGGATTCAGTTCTAAATTCCAATTACTTGAAGAAGGCTGACGTGTACAATGGCTGAAATGTTGTGAATATGGAAAAAAAAAAATTAAGAGAATGTAAATTGTGAAATTGCAATATACCTCATCTCAGAAATATAGACAGAAAATAAATGAATATACTGAAAATTTCATTTGAATCGGATAATAATTCCCTGATTTTTGGCAAATATTTTAAAAACCAAAGCTCAAGATCAAAGATGACATTTAAAAGTCATTTTTCTTCTTTGTTTTTGTTTTTAAGAAGTCTAAGATAAACAAAACTCCTAACATTTTTGGAGTCTTCAGATATTCTTTGACAAGAGTTTTATTTGGAAAAGTAAGAATTAATTCACTCTTCTTTTCTCTCTGCAGTGGGACAGATGACTGCTATTTAAAAGCAAGAGCAGATTTTGTGCTGTCTTTTTATCAAACAGCTGAGAAGTTTTTAGCTGTCGAATGTTGAATAATAACTTGCCTTTTTTTATTAAATTTGTTATAGAAACAATTGGAAGCTATTCTAAATAAATAATGTCATGGTTGAACACTTTTTTTCAAAAATATTCTAAAGAAGCTTTTTTTTCATTGATATTTTTGTAATAATGATGCTTTTAAAAGCCCCAACCAAATCTAATAAAAAATGTTTGTATCGTCAAAAAAATGTTTTCGTCATTATTAAGAAGAATGACTAAATGTGTTTCTTTGAAATTATCAGTTTCTTATCTGTTCATGGAATGTGTGTTATTTTTTTTCTATTGCAGAAAAACTAAAAACACATTCTTTTAGGAATTCACCAAATAACTAAACAGAAATACTACCACATCCCAAACTTGCAATTACCATGCAAAATACATCCCTCATGAAACACATACACGTAATAACACTAAAACAAAATAACAAAATCTGGCTGAATAATAAGGCCACCTGAAAGAGTTAGAGACTAAAACACAAAATCTCTTTTTTTAATGTTGTATTTTATATAAAAAGAAAATCGGTAATTTGCTTTAAAAAAAACAAAACAAAAAAAAACAATAGTTGAAGAAAAAAAAAAAACAAAAAAAACCACACTTGTCATTGCTTTCCGACACAATTTAAGTGCGCAGTAATTTAGACGAGTAAGATCAGTTAAGAGCAGTAAAAAGGCCATTAATTAAGTGTCGTGCACAAAATGTTCCGCAGTGAATGTAGTTAAAGGCCAGTAATGGCTAATAATGGCTAAATGCAACCGAGTCCAAACTTTTATTGACAATAACTCCAAAACGGTGGATTTTATCAAAATTTAATTGTTTTTTTTAGTTCAGCATGTCAATTTACACGGAATTATAATGATTTGGGAAATTTTTAATAGATATTTAAGTGCGAAGCTTAAAAAGCAAATTCACCAGAAAATCTATGTGAACAGTGAACACAACAAAACATTTTTGTTTATTTTTTTTTTGTACTTATAAAAAAAAGAAGAATCTCTATGTGAACACAACAGAACATTTACTTTGTTTCTTGCGTTTTATAGTATAAAATAAAATTAAAAAAAAGAATTAAAAAACTGTATTAAATGACCAAGAGAAAAAATTTTTGTGTAAAAAATGGGATGTCATAGTAATCCCTCAAGAGTTATGCCCCTTGCATTAGGGTTCAGTGACAGTGAAAAACATTATTTTAGGAATTCTTGCAAAAATCAAGAAACTTTCACGACACACAAAAAAAAAAACGTTTAAAAAAGGAAAAATCCTTTTTTTACTTTTCAGGTACGTAAATTTTATTTTATTTTAATTGTCAGATTTTAAGGAAACTTTCAGGTTTTTCATTTTTACTAATTAATCACTTCAAATTTTGCGTAGTAATCAAGACAAGTGAAGCTTCCATGATTACTCGAGGCAAACGTATGTAAACAAAGCCAGTAATGGCGGACGTTCTGTCTACGCGACGAGAAAGAAGTCGAACTTACATTGTCCATAACTTCTAAACTGTAATTGAGTGCAATGTTTTAATGTTATTTTTTAAATTATCAGGCAATTTCACACCAGAATAGTATATTGTCATTACAGGGTTTTTTTTTTTTTCGTATTTATACTGCAAATTAACCAACTTTTTTTTTACGTAGCAAATAATTTGTTAATTAAAATTAGTCTGTAACACATCTATTTATCATCTCTTAGTTGCGTCTCTGTCTTTGGGTAGAGTGCTCTCAGGGGTGGCTCAGTCAAAAGACAAAATTGCAACTGAGGAAAATTATATTGAGAGGTGCCTAGCCCTGGGGAACAGCTACCCGAGGCTCCGTCCTCTCATTGCACCAGAGAGGGTGATCGGTGCTCACACCAAGGCCAGTGCAACCGACAGTTGCGGGAGCTGCGGGAAATTCTTGTTCCTAGCCCGGGTGTACACGCTCGGGTCCCCACTTTAAAAAATGACCTTGTGTCACAACTCGTCTTAGTGGGGAGACAAAGTGTAAAATAAATTTAAATACCTAGTTTCTCTACTGAATTTTCTTTCACTGTTATAGTGCGTTTTTAAGAAATACTTTCTCAAATGACATAATGTAATTCAATAAAAACAGAATGCATAAAAAATAAAAACTAATTCATTAAAATAGAATAAATGAATTATAGAAAAAAAATGACATTCATATGTTTGTAAATTACGAATAAGACATTAAGACCGATATCAATGTCGGTCGTAGGGTCCAGTCTAGCATTATTACATCATACTTATTATAAAACCCAGGTTGTGTGTGTGTGTGTGTGTGTGTGTGTGTGTGTGTGTGTGTGTGCGTGTGTCTGTTCGTTTATACATTGGATCGGATTTCCTACATTTTTCAACCGATTTCAACAAAACTTCACAGGACTACAAAAAATTACTAAAATTACCTTGTGGTGGTTCTGACAGTGCCAAAAATTGGAAAAACACAATTGTTTTTGTATGAAATCAATTTGAAAACATGATTAAGAGGCATTGCTGTTGCGAGAATGAAAGGGGGACATTTCATATCGAGTTATACTTATAAAACCCAGGGTGTGTGTGTGTGTGTGTGTGTTTGTTTATATATGGGTTCGGATTTCTTACATTTTTCAACCGATTTCAACAAAACTTCACTTTTTTTGGCAGGTAGCGTTTCTTATTGTCTTTCACACTTTTTTCTTTATTTTTACATTCAGAATGCTTTAAAAATTCCATTTACAAGGCAATTGTTTATAATAAAATTCTATTCAATCGGTAGACTAATAACGATTGAAAACAATGTTTTTGTTCGAGCTTGTGCTTGGGTTTGACCAATTCGTAAAAAAAAAAAAAAAAAAAAAAAAAACTAATTAAGACATGCGTATCCGTCAACCTTAAACAATAATCTTTGTCAATTTTTTTTTCAGTCTTTATGATGGTCGATACTTTATCTACCTCTTACTGTTACAACGCCGGGCTCTACTGCTAGTTTCTATTGTACAGAAACTGAACTTTCTGTGGCATAATGTCGAACACAAAATCAGGGTTGAGTTCTTTTAAAAACCAAACTCCCAGTTTAGAAGCAACTCACTCATTTTCACTTTTAAAATTTTCATTTTCTCGAAATTGAACTCCACGTTGAATAAAGGCCTGTTTCATAAATAAGAGAACGAATCATATAGAAAAATACATTTTTGAAGAAAACTATTTATTTTAAGCTTAAAAACCGAATCTTTATCATCATTTTTATTTTATTTTGTAAAAAGTTGTCTTCTAAAATATTTTTATGACATTTTTTGTTTAACATATTTTGCTGCGAAACACGATTATTAGTTATTTGTACTAATTTTCATTTTTTTTCCCTTTTGATCAGTTTCTACGTGGAAATTTCATTTTTCTTTCACTTTATAGAAGTTTTCACAAAAGTGAAACTAACACAACTTCCTGTTTTACAGTATTTCATTTGTATTTTTCTTTTGCTTATAAATGTAATAATTTGAAGTTTTCAGTTTTCTGGACAACAAAACTGTTCTTCTTTTTCGTGTTACAACTTTACAAGTTTTCAACAACAAAGAGTAAACAAAAAAAACAACTTTTTAAACCTGTCCTTTCTTTCGTAAGTAAACCAAGAAGTGAAAAACTGGTGAAAAAACTTAAAAAAAGAGATGGCAACAATAAATGTGACGGAGGAAAGCAATAATTTTGAAAATTTCGAAATTTTTTACTTTTACTTGATCGTACTTCTCATCGGTTGTTTCTGCTTTTATTTATGGTATAAAAAAAAACAGGTAATATTTTTGTTTTCTTTTCTTAAAAAAAGAGAATATCCCCTCCTTTTTTTTTTTTTTTTTTTAAACATATGACAATTATTTAACTATTGATCGCACGTAAACGTTTCCTCTTTCATTCGTGAATATTGAAAATCGATTGACAAAAACCAAAACAATTTAGTAAAAAATTATGACTGCAATGACAGTCCATGCTGTTCCCTTTTGGTAAATTTTGTTTTTATTTCCCGAGCGCTAAAAATCACATAAAATTTTCCAAAATTGTCATAATTCCGTGCAAATGTACTTGCTGAACTCGAATTAACAATTATATTTATGAAGAAACCTACCGTTTTGAAGTTATCGACAAGAAAAAATCGGACTTCTTGTTGCTCATTCGTCCCACATTACGAATACTGATTTGGTGCTGGACACTTGCGCTGGCCTTTGGCCTATTTACTTCTTTTACAAACTTTCCTTGCAGAAAGTTTTTTTTTTTTTTTTTGATAAGTGTAGTTTTATTTATAACAAAACCAAATAATACAATAGAACCTACACAGAAAGAAAACCCCATCCCTAACCTTAACACCTAACCTTGAAGATTAACTTTAGGGTTAAAGTTAGGAGTGGGGTTTTTTTTGTAGAAAAGGGGACAAATTAAAAACAAATGAAATAATACAATCAACTCTTCTGCTTTACCAAGTTTTTGCATTAATTTTTGTTTTATTTTCAATTTTACAATTTAAGAAATACTTTATTTTTATTATTTAATTTGTTCTTTTAATTTGTCACTGCTATTCGAAACGGAAAAAAGGTTCTATTGTATTATTTAATTTGTTTTTGTTATAAATAAAACTATAAACAATGTCAGTATTGGCAGAGTTTAGCGTAGTCTGGTAAAAGGTCAGACTTATGGTGCACCCAACTAAAAATCAAACTAATATTAGAGTGCAAAGCTGTCATCTGGATAGGGAACCCCTAATATAGTTGATAGAATTTACAAGTTTGACAATATTTTTCTGCACATATTAAAATAAGAGCAAGAAAGAATTGCACACACACACACACACACACATATATATATACTAATAATAGATATACATTTGTTCTTCCCTATTTGTTCAACTTCTCTATGCTGGCTATGGTGTTTTATATAGTTAACAAGATATACATATATATATATATATGTATTAATGTCTCAAAGTGGTGTAATGGTTAGCAAACTTGTCTTGCTTGAACAATTACAAATAAGTAGTGAGTTCGGTCCTCACTGGGTACCCCATACTTTCGGCCTTGTGCCACATCTAATGCTAGGAATATCACTGTACATGTATTTACATTTCATGTGATTCCCTGTGTGTATATATATATATATATATATATATATATGTATGTAAAAAGTGAAAATGTTAGAAAGGTCTGTACAACAATTTGGTGTATAGGGAAACTAATAATAGTGAGATTTGGAAAATGCTAATGTTTTTGTATATTTTCTATATAATATTTATAATACAAGTATCTTAACAGAGAGTTATTAAATTATATTAATTATTTAATTATTAAAATTGTTTTACTTATATGTGGGTTTCCAGATAAAAATCATTTTACTTTAATTGGTTTTGCTTTTAGGTTTTCAAAAAGTTTTTAAATGGTTATTTGATTACCACATACAGACAGTTAAGTCCAGAATAAAAGAAAGAAATCACATGGCATAACTGGTTTTATATGTCCCTTATGTTTAGGGAATTATGATTTTTATTTATTTTGAAGGACATACATCCGATTTATGTAATGAATTGAGTTTTCGTTTAAATTTGCTGATAAATTTTGATTGATGGCAGACATGATTTTAGAAACTTCTAATTCAAAACTTGACAGTTATATATATATATATATATATATATATATATTCTAAGGATTTCAATGACTTTTATTTATAATCCAATATTATTTCTTATAAATTTAAATATATGTAGTGGGTACAGATGTTTGAGTAGACTTATTTGTTTTTTAAACAATGTAAATTTATTTATTTCTGAAATGAGTTATTATAACTATTTACACTATTCAAACTGTTCACCACATCTTTAATGTCATATTTATGTTTTAGCCACTGTGCTCTGTCATTCTTCAGGTGATATTTGTTGGAATTTTGAACCGAACACTTTATTTAGTCTACAGGGGTAGATTTTTCTAATTCCAGGTGGCATGCCTTTTGGATATTTCAGTTTTTAGATAATTTCGCTTAAAAAAACTAAACTTTCCAAGTTTTTGTTTTCTCTACTGAAACCAGGGATTGGACTCACAACTCTTTGGCTCTCCAAGGCCACATGATCCATTGGATAAAATCATTGTTTGATCCATAAAGTGACCTGACCTATATAGCCTGAAGCAAACCAGAACATATAGTGGCCGAAATGTCGTAAATGGGACAATAAAGATGAGGACAAAGGTTTAAACAATGCAGATAGTGTAAATAAAGTAAATTTACATCTATTGTCTTGTGTATTCAAGACTATTAATAAAAAAAAGAAAGAAAATGTGCCTTCTAGCAGTGTTCAAATCTGCATCTCTTTGTAGACGAATCCATTACACAGGTTTAAACCCTGCTAGGAAGCACATTTTTAGTGCATCCACTAAATATAACATTTGAAGTAAAATATATATATATATATATATATATATATATATAGTATTGTAAAAAAAAATGAACCATTAAAAGGCCTTAGATGATATTTATTTTATTAAGGTCGGAAAATTGACCTCAGTTCATCAAATCTCATAATACAAATAAAAATGGAAAAGATTTCTCCAGGGCTAAAAGATAAATTTATGTAAATATGCAGATCTAACTTTATGGAAGGGGAGGAAAAAAGTTTATATCTAAGATTGAGGAAGGGGAGGTAATGAAAGACACAGTATGTATTAAGGGTGGTGGGGAAATAGAGAAAATATTTAAAAATTGAATGTGAGATATGTTACTTTTAGTTGTATTAACTGACTTTCTGTGCTGTAGACATAGGGGCCTAATTTAGATACTCATTACGGAAAGAAATGGTTTCATCATTGTTGACATTTGAAAATACATAAAAAAGAAGCAAACAAGGATGAAAGGGAACTGAATGAAAGTTGAAAATGTGGCGATATTTTTGTGTGCAATCAAAATTAGACTTTTTTTTTTAATTGTAAGAGTTATTATTACTATATAAAATGGTAGAAAAATATAATTTTAACAAATTTTGGTACTACGGTACACGTTAACGGTTAAGATAATATAAAAAGTTTCTTGCATACGGAGGCTTAAGGTTATTTGTAATCTTAGTAAACTTACTTGATTGTTTATTCATGTCTAGTGTAGTGTACTGTAAATCTATTCGTATGACTACTATTTTTATTTTTTACTTTTAAGACCATTGTTTTTGTCTTTATTATTATTATTGTTGTTGTTGTTGCTGCGGATTGGCGAATATATGTTGATTTATCAGAAGGATTATTTATGTGCGTGTTCTAAAACATTCATCCATAACAATTAAAGAAAGAGGGAAAGAGCATTGAAGACAAAACATGCAAGATGGATCAAAGTAAAACAAAGATTAAACTAAAAGTAAAAAGGCATAAAAATAACATGTACAATTTACATATACTTTGGATATTTGTGTAATTGAGGATAGCTAAGTTAATTTATGAAGAGTGTTTTTGTGGAGTTTGAACGTGTGTAAAGTTTTTGTTGAGATTTGTGCACGAAATTAAACTAAGTAATTAAACGTAAACAAAAATGTCTCCTGTGCGAGTTCAGTCCTTAGTGTGTGCGTAAATTATCTTGCATTAATGTTCATAGTTGGTAGGAGTTGCGTACCTTTAGTTGTGTAAGTTTGTTTGATTAATTACAAATACTTGTTTGGTAGTAAGTATATATTACTTTCTGAAGTGTTGTAAATGATTGTTTGTTAATTGTTCCTGAGAGAGCGTGATGTTATTTGCTGAGTCAGAGAAGTTTTTCTTCTTTTTGCGCGGTAAAAGTTATTTGGTCAAGGTTTTGACTTGCGTGGAATTGTTTGGCATCTCTTCAGGAGTGGAAATCTGACTGTTTGAGTCAATTTGGATTTTCCTTTATATAGATTTCGAGCAAATAAAACTGGCTCCAGGCCGTTGGGCGCGAAAAGACATTTTCACGTGAACTTGTTATAGTTCCAAGGGTCTGAACCAATGAGAAGTCTCGCTTGCCAAAATTAGAGTGTTGATTGGTTGTTATGTTATTTGGTGCAAAGTGAATTATACTGGAGGGGTGAAAGGTTAGTATGGATTATTCCAATATTATTATTATTATTATGACTATCATCAGTAATTTTATAATTAATATTATGGATAATTTTTTTTTCTTTTATATATATATATATATATATATTTTAAATGAGATCCTATTTTTGATATTAGTTTTGAAATTTTTAGGAAAATTTTACATATATTTTAAGAAAGTTCCTAACTACAAATGATTTTTTATATTAAAGATCACATTTGTTTTTTGTTTTCTTTCTTTTTTATAAAAAATGAATACTTAAATGTCATAATTGTAGCCAAACAGAATATAATTTAGATTGCACACAAAAATATCACCAAATTTTCAAATTTCATTGAATTCGTTTTCATTTCTTTGTCCGTTTCTTTTCCTTTTCATGTATTTTCAAATGTCAATGTTGATGAAACCATTTCTTTCCATAATGTGTATTTAAATTAGGCCCCTACATCTACAGGCCAGAAAGTCAGTTAATACAGCTAAAAGTAACATGTATTTGTTTCACGTTCAATTTTTAAATATTTTCTCTATTCCCCCCTCTCTCTAAATACATACTATCTCTTTCATCACCACCCCTTCCTCAATCTTAGATATACACCTTTTTCTTTTCCCTTCCACAAAGTTAGATCTTCATATTTACATAAATTTGTTTTTTTGGCCTAAAGAAATCTTGTCCATTTTTATTTGTATTATGAGATTTGATGAATTGAGGTCAATTTTCCAACCTTAATGAAATAAATATCATCTATGGCTTTTTAAGGGTTTGTATTTTTATACTACTAATTATTGCTATGTCTCTGACATAGAGCACTCTATGGATCTATATCCTTTTGGAAATATCCATACTGATTACCAATATTTTCATTTTATATGTATATATATATGTGTGTGTGTGTGTGTGTGTGTGTGTTTGGACACTGACATCAACACAAAATGGCAACCATCTATTTCAGGCCATGTGTGTTGTATTTTGGCTCAGCTATATACTGGTCAATGTTGCATTAGGGGTAGTAAGTTGTATTGTATTATCCTGATGGTTATTGGGTGGGCAGTAATGTTTATGCTTCAAATTATTCTAGAGGCTATTGATTAAGAATGGCGATCCTAATGTGGTTACTTGTAGTTGTTTTATAGCTAAGTTTTTACCCATTATTTATTATTGATTACTTAATTATTTTTTATTATTATTACATTTATTTACTTTTGTGTGTGCATTTGTAGTTTTTTAATTTGTTTCTTTATTTAGATTTTTTGTTTATTTTATTTTATTTTTTCAGAGTTGGTTATCATACTTGTTTTGTTTAAAGTATTGGTTTTACCTAAAATATGTTGAAATATCTGTATTGTATATAGCGCATATATTTGTATTTTAGACAATTTTTTACAATCTTTCAAAATTTAAATGCAATGTCAATCACTATCTTTGGTTTGCCTGAACCCTCTTCTTTTTTCTCTTTGTGACTTTGTAGCATTAATGCCTTGCTTGGGGTGAAATGATTAAAAATATGTTCATGTGAACATTTGCCATGGAAATAGTGATAGAATAGTGACAGGCTTGTATTATTTCATGTTTTTGAAAGAGGTTACAGCCAAAAAAAACAATTTCGGTGAGTCTACTATGTGAATCTTTCCAGCTGGCAATGTGAATCTTGCTGCCACATCTGATCTAGTGCTTTTGCTAAGTATTTAGATATCAAAGAAATAAAAAGCAGAAACTGCAATATTATTAGTCCTGACTCGGTATCTAAGTTTTAATAATTTTCCCACCACCATAACATAGTTTTCCTCTGCCTTTTCTATAAATATTTTCATGACAATTGTTCTGATGAGCTTGACTCTGTGATACCTTAACTTCATGAATTCAATTATAGCACTGTTGAAGTTGTTAGTTCTATTCTGATAGTTTGTTCACTCATACATCTTGGCTTTGGAACTGTCATCCAGGTTTTTACTCTCCTGTCAACTATGATCTTCAAAAATTAAAATGCAACATAATTCATCATCATCTTTTGTCTCCTCGAATCCTGGTCTTTTACTGTTCTTTCTGCTCATAACATTTTCTCAGTTTTGTTCACTCTCAGTAACACCTTGCATCTTAGTGGCTTTATTGCCTTGATTGGAGGGAAATGAAAAAAAATCCCATGACTTGAAAAAGGTGTTACCCATACAGTCCCATGTCTTAAAAAGGACAATGACCATACAATCCTATATCTTAAAAATGTTCCCAGTGGTTTTTCATCCTGAAATGATTTTTTTGCTTTAATGTAATACTGTTTTTTTTTTCTTTTGTTATTGTAGATTAAAAAAAAAGAAGTATCTTATGGTAAGTTGAAATTTATAAATTATAAGACATTTTGATTCCCAACTCTTGTATATTGTTATATGATTTAGACAAAGATATGATAAATTACATTACATTCTGAGAAATATTTTGATAATGTTATCACATGGTTTACAATCTAAAGTGTTGATATCAGAGTTGTATCTAGACTATCTTGTTCTCTTATCATAGAAATTTGACAGTTTTGTGATTATTTTAGCTCTGGTGGCCTGGCCATATCTGCCACATTGACAACTGTTGCCTCCCAAAGAGATTGCACTATGGCAAGCTATTTACAGGCAAGTGGCCACTCAGCAGACCAAAGATGCATTACAAAGACATGCTGAAGGAGTCTCTCAAGCATTGTGGAATTCCCCATTTCACCTGGGATGAGTCTGCTGAGGACCGTGTCATCTGGTGCTCCATTGTAAAGTCTAGAGTATGTGATTTTGAAGAGAAAAGGAACAGGAACAAAGAACAGAGATGCCAAAAAAAGGAAAGATTGGGAGGGCTTCGCCTCCCAGCCTGGTTCAGCCCCCAGCATCTCATGTCACAACTGCAACAGACTTTTCAGGGTGAAGATCAGACTCATTAGTCATCTCCGCATCCACCCCGCACCCCCCTCAGTGATTCAAAGTCAAGGTCATCTTTGTATGCAGAGGATTAACGTATATGTATTCACTCACTGGCCACTTTATTAATTAGACATGAACTGTAATTTAATTGGCCATCATTAAATGTAATTAACAGAAATGTCCAAGAAATATAATTGAAACAAGTTTGCAATAAACAATAACAAGAGAAAGAAAAGAACAATGCAAAAATAGTATTAAGCAAGCAAACAATACATGGTGTCCATAAAGTTCGTGTGCACTTTAAAAAATTTATAACTTTATTTGTATTTATGATAGAAATAATTTGTAAAAAGGATTAGAAAGAAGTAAATCTATATTTTATTAAGGCTTTATTGAAATTTTATTTAAGTTTCCACATGTCCTCCATCATTAGCAATACAAAGGCTAATACAATTTTGCAGTTCATGGAAAACATTTGCCAACTGATTTACAGTATTGCCTGAAAACACATTAGTTATTTTAGCTATACTTCAAACTAGGTACATTAAATTTTATAGCATTTTTTACAGATTATTTCTATCACAAATACAAATAAAGTTATACATTTTTTAAAGTGCACATGAACTTTATGGACCCCTGTATGTGCCAGGCAATGTAATAAGGCAAAACAACAGTAATATGGCAAAGAATGCTAAAAACTAAGAATAGTGCTAGCACACAAAAGGAGATACAGACAAGTGATTGAAGCATTCTGACTTCAAGAAAGAACAGAACTGAATCAGATGTGACTGAGAAGTGGCCTATCTTATTGGCTTGGAAGAAATCCCAGCATGCATCAGTGTGGTTTAGCCTATAAATTTGGGGGAGGGGGATGTTTTTGCAAACATTCCACAATGAATTGGAACCAACATGAACAAATATTCTTTTATGCAAATTTCTAGTTGTGGCAGCAATTTAATGGATGTAAGAATCAAAACCTGGTCTTGGCTACTTACTGAATTTATTTCTTACTGAAATGAATTCATTTCATTGCATGGAAAATAAGGGTGATTTAAGTGACTTTGAACAGTATGGTTGTTGGTAATAGGTAGTCACATTTAACTACTTAAAAAATTATTGATCTACTCAGGTATTCATGCACAACCATCCCTACCTAACTCATGCTGCTATGTGTAGGAAATTTAATGACTTCCCAAACTGAGTCATGGCTTGATGAACAAAGTCAAGACAATAAAAGAGCTTAAAACACATACTTTATATAAGAAATACATTACACAACAAGAAGAAAATAGAGGATTACTAAAAACGTATTCTCTTAGCAGTTAAAAGTCATTGGTTAAAAGTCATTGGAGGAGATATTCAAATACATGTGATCAAAGAAATTGATTGGACACTTATCTGTATGATGTTCATTCTTCTTCCGATAGCTGCATTATCCTTGCATCATTCAGGTTACCTCATAGCTCAAATCACCTGTTCTTGGAGAGGGCTAAAGCCACATCTCATCAGTTTGTGGTTATCTCAATATCTTAAGTTGGTGCTCAAATTCTATTTCACGCCTAATTTTGGGTTATACCCATTATGATCAGATCATAATAGACTCATCTTACTATCAGCAGGAGTTATCAAGCAAAGGGAGATAACCTATATTTTTTATACATGCTTTATCTTTTCAAGAGTCAGATCAGACCAAGAATGGAGTATTGTTGTATATCTGGGCTGGAGCTGCCCAATACTTGTTGTCCAGCTTTGACAGAGTTCAAAAGAGTTTACACAGCCTTGCAGGTGATGAATTATTCTCAAACCTGCAACCTTTATCCTATGGAGAAAACATTGCTAGCCTCTGACTACTCTGTCCTTATTACTATGGCAGATGTTGAGATACACTACATTTCTTAGTTTGACCAGTTCAGACATTTAAAGCAAGAATCATCTTCATGACAGTAAATATTCTCCATTCCGTTTGTGTTCCTTTGATAAAGAGAAGGTTCCAATCAAACAGCTTCTTCCTCAGAACTGTTACTTTGTGGAACAAACTCCTGAGAGGTTGCTTCTCTGAGAACTACAATCTTAGTTCCTTCAAGTCCAAGGTCAACCATTATCAATCCTATATGTTCTCATAATGTGAAATTTGTATAAAAAAATTTCTAGGGTTTACAGAGAATTGCCAGAAAAAGAAAAAATTCCATTAAGCATTAATTCTATCAGGGAAAAAGCTCTTGTTGATGAAAGAGGTCAGTGAAGAATGGTGAGAATGGTTCAAACTGATAGAAAGGCAATGGTAGCTCAAGTAATAACTTTTTAAAAGGCATGTATATAGAAGAAAATCTCTGAATGCACAACATGTTGAAACTTGAAACTGATAGGCTACAGCATTAGAAGAATAATATGCCTGGTGTCAATCCTGTCAGATAAAAACAAGAAATACAGATTACAATTTGCTCAGTTGGTAAATAGAAAATTAGAAAAACATTGCCTGGTCTGACAAGTCTTTATTTCTACTGTGAAATTTAGATGGTATTGGCTAGAATTTGGCATAAACAATATGAAAGTATGGATCTATCCTGCCTTGTATCAAGTTGTTGTTGGTGATGTAATGGTATAGGGAACATTTTCTTGCCATACTTTGGGAGCACTGGTACCAATAAAAGATTGTTTAAATGTCACAGCATACCTAGTTAGTGTGACTGACTACAAGCCTCAATTGACAACTATGGTACACCCATCCTCTGGTGGTTACTTCCAACAGGACTATGCACTGTATCACAAATGAAAAATAGTAGTAGATTGGTTTATGGAACACAGCAAGGAGTTTTCTTGTTAAAGTGGCATCTACAATTATCAGGTCTTATGGAATGTTTTTCTTATTTTTAGTACTGCTCAGTTATTGCTTTCCCATTTCTAGTGAGTCACAATTACTATATCCCCAAATTCATTGAGATAGTTCATAATGTTCATTATTTTTCATGAAATTATTTCTCTCAGCACATGAATTTTTGAGTTCCAGTTCTCAAGTTGAGGTTTTATACTTATTGTTTTATACTTATTGTTGATCATTTCTGTCCTTAACATCTTCATGGATTTGAATATGTCAGATGATCAAATAATGGTATGATATAAGAGTGCTGCCCAAATGCATAATTATATATATATATATATATGTGTGTGTGTATATATATATATATATATATATATATATAAGATATCCAAATAAGAGAAAGAACAGATGAAATAAAATGCCACTGTTCATAGCATTTACTTCTAAAAAAGCGCTCAATACAAAGTAAAGCAATGTTATTATTATTTCAGCACCACTAAGTTCTGGTGTATCATGTCATGTAAAAATAACTCCCCATGTACACTCTCTGAGCTTAATTTTCTATTTAGTGTAGATCTGACATTTAATTGGTTGATCAAGACAAACCCACAAGACTATTTTTGATCTTGACCTTGTGTTTTCTCATCTCTCCACTTTATCTTTTGGAAAAGAGGTAACATTTTGCTTTTGAAATTCTCTTAAAAATTATTTAATTATCAGTGACTTACCATCACCTGAAGAGGTACAATGTAGTGCCGAAACACAAAAGCTATTGTGTAGTGATTTCAACATGTTTTTGTTATAATATTTTATAATAATAATAATAATAATATATATATATATATATATATCTTACTGTTCTTTCTTTTTATTTATATAAATATATATATATATATATATATATATATATATATATATTCACAGCCAAGGTCTCAGACATAAATTACATTTAAATTTTAAGCTGGAATATGATATGATTTGACTCAGGGTATGATTCCCTGGATTCATACAAGGGAAGGATATCTACAGACTATGTACAAGTCATACAAAAACCATGATAATCAGTGAAAGAAAGACAACAAACACATGGGTTCAATTTAAGACAAACAATTTAATTCAATAACATGAAAAATAAGAAAAGAAAATGAGAAGATGAAAAAAAAAGAGAGTTTATTTTGGGTGAATATGCAGTGAATGTGGCATTTAACACAGACGTTTCAATATCATGTGTTCCTAGATCAATAGAATTCAAGTGGTATTTATCTGGGCTTCAAATTCAATATGTCAGTATTTTCACAGAGAATTACATCAAATAGTTCCCTGTATTCGCATAAGAAGATTTGAATTGATTGACAATTTTGAAGAAATAGAATGTTCAAATTTATTGGTAATTCCAATATTCTTCCCACTGGATTTCAGATATTCATTGTTAAGCAAAATGATTCCACAGTCATTGAATTTAATATTCAAGATCTTTTCATATGCTGAGAATATATCCATAATTTATAGATGTAGTTCTCTGGAACTCTTTCCTGGTACAAAACTGTATTATCCAGTATTTAAGTCAGTTTCTGCCTTTTCTGCTCCACTGGTGTTGACCATCCAATATATTCAGCTGCCTAGATCCAACTGATGAATCTTTGATTTTAGTGCCTCTGCTGTCCACCTGTGGTCATGTGGCCTGCTATGGTGTCGACATGTATGATATCAGAAACAATCAGTTGCCCTCTGGTGCCTCTGTCCTGCAAGTGGTATAGGGAAGTACAGCAATTTACTGTCAGTAAAAGAAAGAAAGAGAAAAAAAACTAATGTTCTTAACTATGAGACAATAGATGGATTAGTCTTTCTTTCTCTCCTTTAATACACACATTGTAGTAGCACATAACAATATATCTATGAATATAATATATCACATAGTGCTGTTGTTAATAAAACGGTGTTCAATTTTTATATAAAATTTTTCTTTAAAACCCAGTAATCTCCCTTTAAAATCCAGTAATCTCCCTTTATGTTTAATACAAAATAATATTCCTAACTTTAAATAAAAATTAATATTTTAGTGTGATAAATGCTTGTGATTTAACAATGCAATAATATTCAGTCATCTAATATTTGGGTGATTCTTTTAGCTTCTATATTAATATCATATTCTGTTATTTTTGATGCTCTTTTGTATATTTTAGTTATATTGTCCTTGAGTAATTTGTTGAGGTTTGGGTAGCTTTGTTCATATAAATTTCTAGTTTTGTCTGCTGCATTAGGATAATACAGTAGGTTAATCATAATGTACCACTGACATATATATAAATAATTGAGCCAAAACCCAATGGACATAGCATGACAATTGCATTTAAGCATGAAACACATTGTCACCACTGGGTGTTGACTCAATGTACACATAATGCAAGACTCATTGGTAAAGTGAATCGAGTCCTCTCAGTCACTGTGTGTTTATCTAAAAATAAATACGCTTAAAATTCACCTTCTTCCTGCTATGCACCAATGGCTTAGGGTAAAATCTCTGACTGATGCCAATTCAGCGGGTTTCGATCCTAGCTAGAGGCAACCGGACATCTAGCTACACTGATGAGCTGTGATACAGTGAAACAGTCTGTCTGTAAGTGACAATATATATATATATATATATATATATATATATATATATATATATGTGTGTGTGTGTGATAGAAATTATTAGGAAGATTTGAGATAATCATAATTAAGTAATTCATCAAGTCTAGAATTATCAAGTCTTATAATTTCTGACTTATTCTCTTTAGTTTGAAATTCAGGCCAATTCTAAGCAGGAGTTTATTTACTGAATTTTCAAGAAAAATATCTCACATTTTTGCTTCTTTCTTCATGTCTACTCTTTAAAATTTCAGAAGACAAATTGATTGAATTTCCAAATCTTGCCTTTTATAGAAATGAGATACCTTCAAAGCCAAATGGTAAGTCAATCGATTTATCACTGACAACATATAATTACTTTTATTCAGATTGCAGGATCTGTTAAATTTCTACCATAAATTTTCCGTGTATAATGAAAAATACTTTTACTCCATATTGTGTATATTTCTACTTATTTTTTTTAAGTTTTGCTTGTCAGTATTTCTTTTTTTTTTTGACAAACTTGGACCTTCATATCCACAAAAATATGGAGTGCTGAAAGGACATTTTTTTCATTGACACTGCTATTATTTTAACTACAATGGATATGTTTGTTATTTTAAAACATAATGATTAGAATTGCAATAAAGACTAAACATATTAAAGTGAATTTATACATTTTCTTTGTTCTTGATGTTTAATAAAAAAACCCAGTAAACACTGTTTATTTATTCGATTGTTTATTTACACTATTTATTTATCAAATTGTTTATTGAAAAGCATTATCTAATTGCCAATTGATTCAGACTTTATAAAATGGTAAATAATAAGGATTTACTTATAGCTGGTTCACATATTTTAATAATTTAGTAAATGTTTACAAATTTATGAATAAAAATTGTTTTCATATTTATTTCTTTATAAATAGGAGTGGGATATAGAGAACAAATTTTTCAAAAAAGTGGGGAAGTGTTTTATTTCACTCATTTGTATCCACATAGAAGGAAATGGCAAGAAAAACTGCCTGGCATGTGACAATGAACCAACTTTCCAAGCATCACACCTAGCAGTTGATTCAATATAATTGTATCAAGGTGTGTGTGTGTGGGGGGGGTGAGACCAAGAAGATGCAGTCAGTTGCTCTCCATGAGGTTAGCGTCAGATATGCTGGTGGAAGGAAAAATAGTTTTCTCTGATGATTAAAAGATAGCAGTTTAATTTAAGAGGAATTAAAATTTATTAGCCAGTTCTTGCACCTGATTGGAGGTCATTTTCAAGAGTAACTGCCAGTTTATTATTATTGGGCCTATCAAATTTTTAAGACAGGAGTAGAGAGTGGCATTATCAAAATAAATACCTAGATAGGGACTGAAGATTTAGGGAAGGACATTAATGAAAATGAAACAATATAGGCCTAATAATAGAATCCTGCAGGACTCCAACCCAACTGCCCATTTTACTTTATTGGGCATATCATATTTACTACTAGTAGCATGGCCCGGCATTGCCCATGCTTGATTCAAAAATAATACGACTCATACAGCAATTGCTATCACTTGACTTAACATATTTTTGCCCTTCCTTGCCTTTAAAGGAGTGCCCTTTGCTGTGCTGATGTTGCTACATGCCTTACTTCTTGCCTATCTCACACTGCGAATTTTTTCTAAGCTCTATACTAAACATTAAATCTGTTACGGAAAAAGAACTAAACAAAATGAACACAAAACGATCAGCTTTAAAAAAGGACTCGTAACTGGAAAAACTGAATGAAAAAAGAATGTTAACAACAAATACTTTTTCACACCCAACCCAGTTCTGTGGAATCAGAATCAACGTTGAGTTTAAGCAAGCGAATGAGCCAATTGGAGAAAAGTGCTATGCAGATTTAAATTTTTCCCACTTCTGACGAATGCAGCAATCGATTTTTTTTGCATGCTAACATGCTAGTTAACATTTGTGTGAGTCAGCTGTTGGCTCTCATGCTGGCCAATAGAATCTTCCTGCCTATTCGCGACAGCCAGCTATTGGCTCTCACTCTGGCTAGTACAAAATGGCCACAAACTACATGAAAACTGCCATAGAAGCATGAAAAAATTGATTATTTCCACTATCGATGGGAGTTGGGAAATGCAAAGTTGGTCTTGGCCTTTCCAATAACTTGGAGCATGTGCATGTAAATTTTGGTTCAAATCTGTCAAAAATTGCGGCCATGCATTCATTACACACTCACACACACACACACATACACATCCTGCCTTTTATAGATAGAGATTAAGACTGGAGTAGATAGTTGTGTCATCAAAATGAACACCTATTTGGGAACTGATGACATCAAGAAGGTTGTTAATGAAGCTAAGAAACAACGTAGTTCTAAAGATAGAGCTCTGATGAAAACCCACTTTAATATGAAATGTGGGCATTCAATATGATTTTCATTACACAACTTGTTAAGAATGATTTGATTAAGTAAAATATTTGGCCAAAGAAACCATAGCTCTTGAGCTTGTGAAGAAGGCCAGCATGCCAAAACCTGTCAAATACCTTCACCATATCTAAAGGGACAACCTGAACATTGCTGTTTTTTATCTAAAACTTGATAAACAGATTCAGTAATAACTATTAATACACTGGAGATTGACCTTGAGAAATGAAAGCCTTATTGTTTATCTTAAAGAATGCTTTGAGAAATGAGATGCTTAACCAATTTGGCATTGCTTAAAGATTCCAGTACTTTACCAAAAAAAGATAAAAGACTCACATGACAGTAATCCAAGGGATTAGAAGGTTCATCAAATTTCTTTGCTTTATGTAAAAGTTGAACAGAAATAGAGAGCAGTCAGCAAAGAAAAATGAGAAAAATAGCTATGTTTAGTAATGACTTTTTTGCATTTTCTTTTTCAAGGAGATTACATAGAAAATATCTTGACTCACTGGAAAGGAAACAACAATATCTTAGAAACAAATCATTCCTATATACAATGGTGAGTAAATTATTTCTGGTATTTTTCCAAATTTACATTTTAAGTTTATTTAAGTTTATATATATATATATATATATATAAATTTTTATTTAATGGAAAACAGACCACTTTAAGGTACCATTACAATAATTTATTTCACCAGAATACTTTTAAAGGATGCCGGATCATCAGGTAACACTTCCAACAATGAAATGAAACAAAAAATTTTTGTTTCATTTCATTGTTAAAATTTAACCTGATGAAAAGTGTTTTTTAAAAGGATTCTAGTGAAATAAATTATTTTAATGGTACCTTAAAGTGGTCTGTTTTTCATTAAATATTAGCTCTGGATTTACATTGAGCTCTCAGGATTTTATCCTCCTTGGAATTACCCATATGGTTTACCAAGTTCTTCATAACTTAAATATATATATATATATATATATATATATATATATATATATATATATATATATATATATACACACACACACACACACACATGTATATATATATATTTTATTTTATATGTATGGTACTTTTGGAAGTGCTCAATATCAGTGATAGAGCTAATATAATAAGTTGTATGGATATGAGTTTGTGACCCTGGTTTTGATGAAATTCGTCTGATGATTGCAAAAGCATGAAACCCAGAGTCACAAACTCATATCCATACAACTTATATATGTAATCTGAATTGATTGTTTATGTATTTTTATTTTTGCTATATTCTTGCAATATGTTGAGTCAATCATCAGAGTATGTTCCTTCTTTCCTGTTAATGTTATTTACAGTGGTTATGTCACATATCCCATAACCCATCAGAGTCATAAGTAATGCAACCATATCAGGAATGATGTCTCTAGATAAAGGTAGCTTGATGGAACCCATCCCTTTTCAGGTTAGTTTTTGAATTTGCAGTTTTCCTTCTCCTAGACAGGTTGCCACATCAAGTCTGTCCTGTTATTTAACTCATAACTTGAAGAAGATGAATTTATGTAGCGGTCATGTGATATTGTTATTAACTAAAAGATATGTTTGCTAATCATAAATGGAAAAGCTTACTACAATTCAGTGACTTCCTATTATTTTAAAAAGAATTTTGAATTTTTTTTGTATGTGTATAAACATGCCAATTTTTTTAAATACAGATATGCATACACAACATTATCAGAAAATAAAAGAGTAAATATTAAAATTTATTGGTAATTTTCTAACATTTTCTCAACAAGCATCCTTGTAAATAAGACTATAAAGCCAAAGTACTTAAAATTCAATAAAATATTAGAATCTTTAAAATATTTTAACATTTTTATTAGTATTTGGTACTTAAAAAATTATATAAAAAACAGTGTTTATGTTGTATTTGTCATAAAATTTTATTAAAATCTTGACCTCTTCATAAAAATTAGCCAAACATCAGGTTGTTGATAAATGTGTCAATACTTCATAAAACACCCACCTCATGTTAAAAAATGGTTTTCACCAATATTTTAAAGGAAATGAAATATTTTTTTCAATTCAGATTAACTAAACTTTAAATCAGCTATTTTTTTCTCAAATAATGTTTCAGAAAGTATATTTTATTTTTGAAAAATGTTTTAATAAAGAGAATTATGTTGTGTTGACAGATTTGTCAATATGGATGATTTCATTGATTTTACTGATAATCAAAAAAAATAATTACAATCAATTTAAATTTGGTTTGAAATATACAAAAGTATATTGCTTATTGAAAATATTCATTTCAATCTATTAGCTTGGAAGTAAAACTAAAATAAAAGTTTCAAGAAAAATTTTTCATTTTTAAAATGCATTTTAAACTTTTTCTACTGAAGAACAAATGCATATGTGACTTTTGACACATAGCCCACATGCATGGAAGTTTTTGGTTCCTCATGAAACTAAGTCTGCACCACTTGGTTGTTTGTGCAACCAGTGCACATAAACTTTATGGTACCTCATGCCATCATGCAGTATAACTTGTGCAGATTGATAGCTAATGTCCACAATTACCATCACTTCTGATAAAGTGGTTTGTCGGTCTTCCTTGATCAAAGCATCCATCCTCTGAATATATTTTTCTATGTACCATGCCAGTGAGTGACCAGATTGGATTCTGTTTATTACATTTGTTTTCCCTGATTTAACGTGTTCTCCCCACTAATACACCTTGCATTTATTCATGGTGTGTGCTCCATACTGAGCTATCATCTGAATTTCCACAGAAAAAGAAAGAAGTATAGCAAAACAAAAACTGCAACAAAATTAGTAACATCTTCAAACTTATCAGCAAATGTTTATCAGCAGAAGGGATTGATGTTTTCAATTTTAAAGATCCACTATAAAAAAAGCTGTTGCTGTGAAGAAATGAAGAAAACACTATTTTAGAAAATTGCTCATGGAATTTTGATGGTAGATGAATTGATGGCCAAGAATATCAAGTGCTTGTTTTGAAAAATGAAAGAAGAGAAGTTAAAAGCATTAGATCAACCAAATGAAAAAGTGGATACTGTTGTCAAAGGAATAACAACTGTTCTGGATGAATACAATTTATGGAAGAGCATAAAGATGATTGTTGCAGATACTATGAATGTGAACACTGGAAGCAGGAATGGTATTGTCATTTAGTTACAAAGACTATTTGTTCAAAAGAAACTGGAAGAATCACAATTCATTGGCTATCAACATATGAAATTTTTATTTCATCAAACTTGAGTTTTCCACTTTTTCAAAAAACACCTAACTTAAGTAATGCAAGATGGAATTCGAGAGCAATACTAATTTTTTGGCATTTATTCTTCTGCCAGAGAAAAGAGACTCACTAATCGAAACTTGTAGATTAATTTCTCACAGATAGGCGGATAATTTGTTTACTGACCAAATCTACAATACAGATGATTGTCAGAGGTTATATAGCAACTTGCAGACTATATAAAACTCTATGAAAAAGATTTGGAATCCAGAACCATTGAAACTGGAAATTCTCAGGACAAATCAGTGCGCAGAACAGGCAGTCAAGTGCCTTCATGATCTTTATGATGTCTGTAAAGAGGAGAAAGTTCAGCTTACATTTATTTTGTCAGTAATTGTACATTTTGCAATAATTATGCCAAATATTTCACATTCTTTTTCTTTATATAGCTATTCTTGCTTGCAGATGTAAGTTTCTATTTGTATGTGCAAGTTTGCAATTTATGTTTATTTGTAAGTTTGTATCTTATGGTATAACTATAAACTGTTAGATGCACTAAAATACATAAGTACTATCTAATTTTATTGCTAGTAAATAGAAACGTAAAGCTTCAGAAATATTTTGATTTTTTTACCCTTATTGTGTATATATGGTAAAATCTAATTTTCAGTTTGGGGTTGCCTTTTCCAAGAACTAAAACAAATTAATGGTCTTTTCATTACTTTTGAACAAAATCTCATCAATTTATGACACAAGAACATAGGTTTAAAAAAAAGTCATGACTATTATATATATATATGTATATATATATAATTTTAATTATTATTTTAAAAATATGATTCCATTGCTACATAGCAATTACCATGTTTCAAAAACAGAAGCTAAAAACTTCCAATTCAGTTATAGAAATTAAATTAAATTAAAGTCCCTAGTTCTGTTTCATTTTCAAGAGAATTTTGGAACCTATATATATATATATATATATATATATATATATATATATATATATAAATAAATATCATTTTAAAGTGTGCTATATTTCTGGGATAAAGTGCTCAATATCAGAGATAGAGCATATGTAAATATAAATATAAAAGTGAACACTCAGAGGTAATAGACTGTTTCTTGCTAGACACAAATGTCAGGCCGTGAATGTTGGATTTTTTCTCGACTATTTATATATATATGGGTCAATGGTGCATTGTGGGTAATCCAACAAAAAATTCAACACTAACAGCTTGACGATTACATCTAGCATAAAACAGCCTGTCACCTCTGAGTGTTAACTTCAATATTCACTTTTATATTGATATATATATATATATATATATATATATATATATATATATATATATATATATATATATATAAAATATATATATATATATATATATAATGTAAAAGTAGGTACCTTCAAAAAATGATGCCTAATGTTTAAAATGAATTTTTAGAAATGAAAAATCTTTCTTGAAGCTTTTAATTTAGTTTTAATTTCAAGCTAATAGATTAAATTTAATAATTTTAATAAGCAGAATACTTTGCTGTATTTCAAAAACTAACTATAGAGAGAAACAAAATTTAAATTCTGGAATATTGATTTAGGTAACAAATATAAAAAAAATATTTCTACCAAGATTTTCTTAAATGAAAATGTTTCTAAAATAATTTCATTAAAATCTGACAATTATTTGATTTTTGCAAGAATTTCCAAATCAATGTATTTCTTGTCACATAAAAGTCTTAGCCATACTAATCTTTGCTGCCACCACTTACAGAAGAAAAACAAAATTTTTAACCAAAATTTCAAACATACTTGAAAGCATTAAAACAATTTAATAAAATAATCAAAAATACTTTGGTCTTTCCTCTTAATAATAACATAAACATTTTGACAAGGAAACTTTGTTTTTTATCAAGTTAATTGAAAGAGATTAAAATATTTCTTTCAAATAATTTTTTTCGTCTTTTCTCTAACTTTCTTTTGCAGGTTGTTTCCCAACCGAATGTATGGAGTGAACCCAGAAGCCTCTGTTCTCAGGGATGAAGAAGTAAAAGTGAGGAAATTTTAAAATCTATTGAGTGGGAATAATATAAATATATAGAAACAGTGCAGGCAAAGTTGTTTGGTGTGGAAGCCATGGTAGTAATAACAAGTAATTTTTTTAATTATTCTGCACTCCTCCCACCAAGGAAGGCAATTTGAATTATTTCTAAATAGATTAATGACAAAATATACTCAGAAAGAAGCATAGAAACTTGTTATTTACCAAATGTTATCCTAGTATGGTACAAGGCCAAGGAGGAAAAAATAAGGGGAATATTGTGAAATACTAAGCTTTTAAATAGTGTTTGTAGGTTTCCCAAGAGAATCAGCATTCCAAACGTTTACCTTAGTTTGAACATCAACTCCCAGAAGCAATTGGAAATGTAAAACTATTTTCGAAAAAAATTGGGCCACAAGCAGAAAAGATGGAATACAAAATCCATAGCACACAAAATCTGTGATCTTCATTCAGCTAATGCACTGCAAAAAGAATACAACACTTTACCTGGTGACAAATGCAGAAATTTTTAAAGCATTCTACAAAATATGAATGCTTACAATTGGCCAGGAATTAAAGACTTTTATGTCTATATAGTATACTAATACTAACCTCACCTGAGTGAGTAGTCTTTTGTGGGGCCATTTTGAATGACAAGGTACGTGACCTTTTTCTTCTTTACAGCCAGAAGCCATTGAATTAATCTTATTAGAAATCTGCAAATGCTGTCTCTTTCTTTTAATAAATCAATTTCTAGGCAGTAAACAAACCAGACCCACTGGATTTATCTATAAAAAAATGACATTTTCACATTGTTCATTTGGAGACATGAGTTCAATCTCTCAACATGGTAGTTTTCACCTTTTATTTTTCTTCTTTTTTATCTAGTTGTATAATGGAGATTCTCCCACAGGTAAATCATTATAGACATTTTGTTAACAGTCTCATTGCATATATTAGCACAAGTCCTATGACTCAGTGTAGTCATAAGGTCCCTCCACAACTGAGAACTTGACCAGCTCCCTTTGTATGGCTTGGTTGCGTGTCAATCTCTCAGTCTCTGTGAATAGTCTTCTTGTCTACACAGTGATGTTCTATGTAGTATGTATCAATATGATTAACCTTTTCCATTATTTTCCCTGATAGAATATTGAATAATAAAACTGTAAGTGTGAAAAGCAAATTCATATGCCAAGAGCCATTTTTATTGTTTTACTTATATTTTAAAGTCTTTTCTTTTCTTAACAATATTCAGAAGGGTGAGTTGACTCTAAACTTTAAGAAAGAAAAGGTTCTTGGTTTCAAGGTTGCTCTTAAAACAAATTCCAATGTTCAAATGTATTCATTTTTTTATCTTCTTTTTATGCTTATGTATTATTTATAATTATTTGAAGGAAATAAAAATATTAATCTTTTTTCTTATATGTCTTTTACATTTGTTCAGTTTATTAGATGCTCTGCAGAGTTGAGAGAAAGAGTGAAGAGGGCCTTTGAAATGATGTTGGAGTTTTATGGCATGAGGCTGACAAGCAATAACAAGTTTGAACGTGCAAAAAACTCTAAAGAGAGACTCGCAGAACTTAATATTTGGTAAGTTTAAAGTAGAGTTTAGAATTTAACTCCTGGCCTTGAACCAGAGAAAGATGATCCTACACAATGAAAGCCTAACCCTTGGTTATCTATTTTTTTGCTGTTTTTTACCCCAAGGAAGGTGATAATTCCACTAAGACACAAGGAGTTACTGAAAGTTAGTGAAAGAAAATGAGAAGACAAATATGAGGAGGAAAGACAAACAATAAAAGAACAGAATTCACAAAGATAGAAGATGGTAGTTGATGTTATGATTGTTATGATAGGTATTCTCTCCAACAGATGTAGTCTTGTCAAGAGATGATAACCCTCCCATAGATATGGTGATACTGCCTTTTATACAGTACCTAATTTACATATCACTACAACATTTAAATTTTTGAAGATCGTAGGTGGCAAGAAACTAAGAGAGAGTTTCACAGGCAAGTAGTGTGATAAAATAAATTTTTAGACTAGAATTTGCAGTTATATCTAGCTATTTCAACAGTAAAACAATGAGATCTAGTTGCCAATCTAATGCAATGCTTAAATTCATGTGGTTGAAGTACCAAAGTATAAGGCTCTTTAGAACAATTTTCATTAAAATATTTATTGAAAATAAGATAAATTACAGCGATGAAAAATGACTGAAGTCAAGATGCCATATAAGAACTGATAACATTGCAGACTCTTTATTGGATTTTGTTGAGAATTAATGTTATGCAGCAGGAGCACCAGACCATGGCAGAAATTTTCAGTGCGTGAACAAATGCCAGGTTCATAAATGTGTAAACAGCTGCAAACGGATCTTAAACCTTTTCATTGAATTGACTGTGACCAAGTTGCTTCTGACCAGCAAATCGAATGTAAACAGACAACAACCAAACACTCTGGCTTGTAAGTGTGAACCATGTGTGGGAACAGTTGTACATGGTTGTTTTCTTGTTTGGTGTGCCTACCAAGCCAAATATGGTAGTGTTTCTGTTGGTGGTTGGGGCTGTCTCATGCTCTTGAAATGAGTCCCTTTTTTTGTCAGTGATTGACTAGTTGTTGTGTCGGAAACCTACCACCCCTCTGGAAGATGAACTTGTCTGTGAACAAAGACTTTAAATAGTGACATGTCAGTTGACATGGAAGACAGATAAACCGAGAAGTTCTTAGCTGAGCTAGTTATTGACTACTCAGGCGATTTCTGTACCTTTTTACCAACCTATTAAAACCTTTTTTATTGTTACGTGTTATTTGGCATTTGTCTCTACTAACCCCAAATCAACATCATAACACTAGTGATTCCATGTATCCTCATGGAGGGTATTAACTCCTTCCAGGAAGCATGGTAATTTATTTCTCATGTAATCCTAAAAGCTGGCACCAACACAAAGTTAGGTGAAAGATGTCTTCATTGATGAACGGCCACTTCAGAACATCTAACAATAATTTATTGACATACTCATTTAACAGTAATTGTTACACAAGCATGTGTCACTTACACAAAATAGTGATTTGAGTATGTCTGATATCCTTGTTTTCTAATCACTTCAGTACTCCCTCTTTGGCTGTTATTGATAATGTAGTAGTAGTAGTAGCTGTTCTAGCCTCACAGTGAGTCTGCAAAAATTACATTCATTTGTATTGATGTGTCTCTTCTATTCACAGGGTGTGTATCTGCTTTTGTCTTCTAAAGACAGGGATTTTCTTAACATGTTGTTGTGAGATTTTTTTGGTGGCTCCCAAAGCTGGTTTATATGATTAATTCCCCTTCTCATTTTTGATACATGTAAAAAATTTCCACTTTCCTCTGGACTATCTCAATGTCCATTGTCCAAAAAAACAAAAAACAAAAAAAGACAAATGTCTCTGGCAAAACAATATTTCTCAAACATTTAATGAGAGTTATTTTATTGTTTAGCATCATAGCATTAAGAATTTGTTCCTCTCAGATCAGATTTCAACTTATCAGCGAGAAGTGTGAGAAAAGAAACTTTTAGACTAGAACTTGTAGTTATATCTAGCTATTTCAAAGGTAAAACAATGATATCTAGTTACCAATTTAGTACAATGCTTAAATTCATGTAATCGAAGTACCAAGTTAGAAGGCTCTTTAGAACAATTGCCATTAGTATATTTATAGAAAACAAGCTCTCAGATTTTAGCTTATCAGGGAAAATAGACTATCTCCGAGAAATTCCAAAATTACTAACTTTTCACCAAATTCAATCGGGGTTCAACTCTCTCAAATTCTCTCATCAGTTTCATTTTATATATGATGTAATTTTAATTCTCTGTTCCTTTTCCCATTTCCCTTCTAATTATTTAAGACATTCCTCAGGGAGTTTTTGCATTCAAATGCAAAATAATTCTCGAAAGCTTGAAAGACTCTTTCATCGATAAACATTATATAAATTTTAACACATCAGCAATTGACCTAGAGAAGCAAAAGCCATATTGTTTATCTGAAAGAAAGCCATGTGAAGGGAGATGCTTAACCAGTTTGGAGTTGAGTAAAGCCTCTAATACTTTACCAAAAACTGGTCGATGATTAATAGGATGATAATTTGAGGGATAAGAATATTCACCAGAGTTCTTAAATACAGGAACTATAAAAGACTTTGTAAAGCAACATAACATAATACTTCAATGAATGGTAAGATTAAAGTGAGTGTTAGAATTTAAATCTGGACTTTGAGCCAGAGAAAAGTGAGCATAATAAAAGAAAGTCTAGTCATTGTCTATCTACAACATAATACTTAACTGAGGGTAAATTTAAAGTAGAAGTTAGAATTAAAGTATGGACCTTTGGCCAGAGAACAGTGGTGACAGAAGCAAGGCTAGCCTTTGTCTATATCCAACATAATACTGAAGTGATGCTAAGTTTAAATTTGATCTTAAAACGAAAGTATGAAATTTACTAATTATTATATTCAAAGGGTTTTCCCGAACTTTTGGTGGATACTGCACACATACACACACACACACACACACACACACATTGGGGAAATTGTATGACAAAGTGGAAGAAGTTTACTTGTGATGCGAGTCATCCTTCAGGACTTCATCAAATTAAATTTGTCACAAGTAAACTTTTTCCACTTTGTCATACAGTTTTCATAATACTATTCTTGATATATATATATATATATATATATATATATATATATATATATATATATGCACATACTAGAGGATGTATGTGCAGTTGTTGGCATAGAAAGTGGCATTGTCATGTTAAGTCCAAATTCCAGTTGTCCATTGAATTCACTTTTGCACAAATATTGTTGGAAAACTGTGACCTCTTCTCCCACTAACTAGGGATGAACAGCAATGCAGACTGGACTCTCTAGCTTTGGTTGTCAACCAGTCTAGGAAAAGAACAACTCTAAATTCTAAATGAGTTAGGCATAGGCTAGCAAGTCTACTCCATGAAAACCTATTTGTTATGGAAACCACAGCAACAACATCTAGCATATTAATGTTGCGATCCTATAAAGGGAGTCTTCTCGACAAACAACAACATATCCCCATTAAATACTTTCATCATGCAAAGACTCATTCCTTAAACAGTTAAGATGAAAATTTGAATATTGGTTCAATGCTCTGACACCTTGTTAAGTTTAAGGCTAAATGAATTCTTATTCTCCAGCAGACAATGTGCTTATAGAATAAACAAGAATGAGGAACTTTTCGTACTTACCAATTCCCACCAAAGAAATGAGCTAGAGGTAAAATAGTATCTGCGCAGTGACATTTGACTTCTTTTACTAATTCTTGAACACTTAAGATGTCTCTCTTTTCTCTTCTTTCTGTGCTACTTCTCTCACATCTACTGCTGCTTCTTCCTCTAAAATACATAAAATAACTTAACTGACCCCCCCACACACACACACACTATATAGACAATGCTCTGCTTTTTGTAAAAATGTTCTCATTTCTTTGCTGGTATTAAGGTAAATTTCACTTCTTCTGAGCTTCCTTTATTCAAACCATGAAATGAAGGCTTTGGTGGTGCCATTTTTATTTCATTATGAAAAGAATGGTGTTGCTATTAACTTTGCTACACATATTAAAAATTAAAATATGTATAGATATATCAACTTTGGTCTTATTATACCAACGTCACAATGGGGTACTTTTTCCCAGCATTTTTTCCTAATGTTTTTTCATGTATTTAAAAATTATTTTTGTGATATTTTTTTTATGAAGAATTGTCATTCATTTATTCAAACTATCATCCTTATCTTATATATATATATATATATATATATATATATATATATATATATATATATATATATATATATATATATATATATATATATATATATATACTAAAAAGCCCACCTATCAGGCAGCATTCTTGATTGGGCATTCATCACAATAGGTAGAGCAGAGTAGATGAGATAGGCAACAATAAACTACAGAAGAACTCAAAATTAATTGCTCCATTTAAGTATTGCATTAATATTTAAGCTTATCTTTTAAAAGTTCAATGATAATTCTTCTGATGTGACTTAATTTAAAGACTATTTGATGTATGTAGGTCCTTACTTTCCATACAAACAATTATTTTTCATTTCATGGGTGACTTTCACTAGATTTTGCAATTAATTTTGATTATTTACAAATTATAAAGTTATAAAAATTGGTATCGTACAAAAAAATTTGTTGCAAAAATCATGTAAAAAATCGTCGAAAACAATCACAGTAATGAAAACGTGGGAATACAAAATTTCAGATAAAAATAAAAATAAATATTTAAACATAAAAATGTCTTTAATAAATAAATTGTCGGACTTTGTCCATTTCTTAATATACACACACATATATATACACACACACACATATATATATATATACACACACATATGCATATACACAACATATATATATACACACACACATATATATACACACACAAATATATATACACACACACACATATACACACACACACACACACACACACACATATATATATATATATATATGACCATATTTTGATCAGATGAGAACCGCCTACTTAGTCCTCACATTACATTTAATGGCCATCTTGTTTTGGCATCTATAACCTCTGAGATGACTCTTGTGATCAGGTATTGAGCATATATGACAGATAAACTCTGTATCATTGATTGGGTTGATTGGCTCAACTCTCCTGTGTACCACCATGCACCTTCTCAGTCGTGATGATGATCTGCAAACCTTATTGCAAGCAACATAGGCATTGTTGGCTGGAGGATGAGGCAAGTTGGCATAGTTGAATTGCTTATTATGACCATTCAGATGTTCTACATAACCAGCATTTGACAACAGCATGTGCTCACACACACTCCACATTTCCAAGACTGCATATTAGTTGGCAAATCAGAGCAAGTGCTCCTTCAGAGACCACACTTGATCTGAGCATACCTGAGACTTATATGCACGAAACATCTCCCTAATAAAGTGCCTCCACTCTTTGAAACTTTACATACATACATACACACACATGTGTATGATCAAAAACATACATCTGGAGTAGCTGTGTCCACACTGCCCAGCCCAGGGATAGAACTCACCATTATGTCACAAAATTCATGAATCAACACTTTAATCTTTTATCTCATGGTATTCAATGGAAACAGAGCCAGCAATAACTTAGAAGTATTAAATTCAGAACTAGATGAGATATCCTTAGACGTTGACAATAGAATACTGCCCAGGTGAGAAAAATTTACTTCTGTAGATTAAATAAAGTGTTCAGTTTTCTATATTTCCTGTAGTTTACTCAGATCAGCATACAACTGATAAAGCTTGGAGGGTAAAATGGCCAAAATGTGATAACAACAACAAAGACAAGGAAAATAGTCCCCATGTAAATAATGTAAATAGTAATGTTAAATGTTAAGCCAAAGAATGCCAATTGTTTCCTTATAAGGAAACAGCTGTTTACACCTTTATCATTACTAATGGTTTGAAATGACAATTTTATGTTATTATTTTTATCATATGATGAATGTGATTATGTTCCTTTTCATTTTGGTCACTGATAAAATTTGAATGGATCACAATATTTCAACTCTGGTCTATACCAATGTCACATATTTGGGACCCTTAACTGATATCACAATAATGCATCATTTCCCAGTAATCTTTTTTCCTCTTTCTAAAATTTTAAGATATAATTAAAGATTTCTATGAATTTATTCATGTATTTTTTTCTTTTTTTAACAATTTCTTTTAGGAACAATCACAATTTCCTTCGTATTTCAAGAATCCTGCTGGCTCTCAAAGAACTTGGTCACCAAGAATTGATGTTGCCATGGATGAAGTTTCTGGCTGAATTGATTTACAAAGAGAAAGTGCTGACCTGTGCAGAATCAAGTTTTGAAACTTACTGGCTTGAAACATTAGATGCAGAAGACAAAATAGAGGTGATTCAATACAAGAATACATTGATTCAATCCAAGGACACAATCCAATGAATAAAACCTAAATATTTTCATTTATATGACATCAAAGAATAATTTGAAGAAGAAAACATTTTTGTTATTGTTAAAGTTTCAGCCTCTTTCCAATCTTCTATTGTGCATCCCCTCTTTGCTGGAAAATCACAAGATAAAAGTGAGTGAGGGCAAAAGTCTACAAGCCTCACTTTGGTATCTTGCAATATTTTGTAATGTCTCAATCCACAAAGAGGATTAAGTTTCTCTTTAAAAATACAAAATAAATTTTATATGAATTTTCACTTATTACTGTGATATCTTATAATATGACAATTGATATCAATATTCTTGAATATATGATTTATCAATATATGACATTTTCATTATATGACATTATTCATATCCTATGAATATATGATTAATATCAATATTCTTGAATATATGATTTATCAATATATGACTGTATGATAAGAATATATGATTAATATTAATATTTTATTTTAATCATTTCACCCCAAGTAAGGAAATAAAGCCACTAAGATGCAAGGGGCTACTGAGAGTGAAAGAATCTAAGATGAAAAAATAACATTGTTAAAGGGAGAGGACAAGAACAGGAATTGAAGAGACAGAACATAATTATTGACATTGCATCTAAATTTTTGATATATGATCGAAGTTGTATAGAAAGCAAGAAACCAGAAGAGAATTCCATAAGTGAGAAGTACAAGAAAAGAAACTCTTAGCATAGAACTTATGTTAACATCTAACCAATTCAATCCTTTAAGTTCATTGCCCTTCATAAAGCCTAGTTACCATAGTGTAAAATGATGAGACATAGCTATTAATAATAAGAGGAATAAAGTATTCAAGAAATAAGAAAATAAAATAATATTTATAAACCCAGTTTAATTGTTGCTGTTAAAAACAGTTTAAATATTAATAGAAAATAATTGGTTATACAGAATGGAAAGTAAAAATAAATAATCCAATCCAACTTTAGGAATGGAAACTTCTCATATATATTTGAAAATACCTTTTCTCCCTTAAAAATGTTATGTTGATACTAAAAATAAACAAAGTCTGTCATTCATGACAAGTCTATAAATGAAATAGCAATTTTAATGTATAAATAAATAATAAATATAATATATTAACATAATGTGTTAATCTTCATAATAAATCAATGTAATAGGAATGATAATAGTATTTCTATATTGGTGTTGCACATTGAGTAAATGGAAATTCTGTTCTTGACTCATGATGTCAACAAGACTTCTCACAACTCTAGAATTTTTTGGAGAATCCTTGCAGAGTAAATGATGGCAGTTTTCTGGGGCTCTACAATCTTGATCTTAATTCCAATTTTCCCTAAGCGCTTATTCAGTTTTCGATGTGGTATTCCAAGTGCTCCCATTGCAACAGGAATTAGTTCTACGTTCATATTTCATAGCTTTTTCAGCTCCCAAGCCAGATCCTGGTATTTTTCAATCTTTTCAGTTTCTTATCGAATCCACTCTTATATCAATAATTTAACACTTGCTATTCTCCTTATGTATAACAATATAGTTGGGTCTCCATGTTTCTATAACATGATTCGTGTGGACTGAGAAATCCCATATCTTGTGACATTAATTTTCTATCACTGCCTTTCATTGCTACTGAAATGGTTATGATGAATGAAATGTGTAAGGGGAGGTGGTTAGAAATACAATGTTAATAAGGAATATAACTAATTATGACTTAGAGAAATTAAGATTGTAGTTTTCTAGTTAGCAACTATGCAGAAAACTGTTCCACAAAATAGCAGTTGTTGGAATAAATTTGTTTGAATAGAATTTTTTCCTTAAATTTGGAATACAGAGAAAATAAGTATGATTCTACCCACTTAGTCAATTTGTTTTTTTTTGTTTTTTTTAATGGCTTTACTGGCAGGTTATTTAAATCCAGAAAATATTTTTAGATTGTAAACATTTTTTGGATATAATAATGATTTACCGATGCATTTTTACAAACTTTTAATGTATAAATGATAATTCTGTCCATGTCTTTTATTTCCATATTATTCCAGTCTAAGAACGCCTCAGAATAGTGTAGCAGAGAAATTATCCAAATGGCAAACTTGAACTTTCATGCATTAAAAAAAACTGTGCTAAAAGGATGGTTTTTCCATTGGCATAAAATCTAAATATATGATGAAAGTGAATTTCTACATTTTTTACTTTTTATCATCTTTCTTTTGCCAACAGACCTAATAAAATTCAAACATGGCTACTACTCTTTGTCTTTCATTGCCAAACCTAAAAACCAAAGAAAAATTCATGATCCCAGTAGAAATTACTGTTATAAAAAAAAAAATTGATCACACATGCAGCTGAATATACCTGATAATGCTGAAAACACAATATTTTCGTAACTAGCACCTCCAAAACATAATTTCTTTCATTTACTCACCATAGTGAATGTTTTCTGTATGCCATCAGCTATGCTGATACTAGACTCCAGGAGAGCAATGCACTGAGCTTTCTTGGCCTCATGTTTTCACTGACTTGAAGTGGAGCAACTACATTCAATCAATAGCTGTATCTATTGCAAGGAAAGTTAGGTCATTGTGTTGTACCAGAAAATTTTTCTCATCAGAATCCATCTTGCACATTTACAAATCTACCATTCACCCATGCATTGAATAATGTTATTACATCTGGTTTGGTGCTCTTGCTGTACATCTCAAGATTCTTGACAAAATCCAAAGAAGGATCTGTAATATAGACATCTTGACTTCAGTCACTTTCTCACCAATGTAATGTGGCTTCCTTGTGTCTTTCCTACAAATATTTTCATGGCAACTACTCTGACAAATTTTTTCCCTGATGCCACAACTACATGAATTTAAGCCTGCTACTAGATTGCCATCTAGGTCTTGCCATTTTACTCATGAAATAGCTAATTGCAACTGCCACTTCTCCTCCAGCAGTTTCTTTTCTCACACTTCCCACCTGTGGAACTGTCCTTCCATTTATTTGCTTCTTTGATAATTACAATCTTCAAAAATTTAAATGCAATATACATTGACATCTCCTATCTTCTTGAATTCCATTCATTCTTCACCCTCTCCCCAGTCTTCACTTTCATATTCATTCTCTGTAACCCCCTGCGTACTAGTGACATTCCCACCTTGCTTGGGGTAAAATGATTTAAAAAACTCTTTTTTAACCATTTAAAACAGAATAAAATGCTCATAATGTTTCTATATGAAATGAGTCACTCTAATACATTTCAAAAATGGAAAACATGTTTAGAGCGACCATGTGGAAACTTCTCCACTCTCAGTGATATTTCATGTTCTGTCCCTTTGTGAACACACTGGGCGTTTCCCTGCTTTTGTTCACACTGAAGCTATCTCCCTTGGTGAAAAATGTATGAGCGTCTTAGTCATATGTCTAAATTACATTCTTGTTTTTGATGTTCAAAACATCTCAAGGAACTGTTAGTTTGATTTATTTGGGACAGATTTTAGAATAATACAGAACTTATACTTGGAGCTAACTGCCTACATGAAGATAGAAAATGAACATCATAAGATATGCAGATAACACAGTGTTGATAGTAGACAAAGAAAGGAAACTACAGGAACTCCTACAGAAGGCTGTAAAGGATAGCAAGAAGAAAGGAGTAAGAATTAATTGCAAGAAAATAGAATGCATGCCCTTTGTAGCAAAAAGAAGGGCCCAGCATGCAAATTACAAACTGGTGTTACCAAAATCAAAAAATTATAAAACTTTAAATATCTGTTAAGTGTTTTAAGAGAAGACAAAAAGTGCAAAACTGAAATCCAAAGCCACATAGGGATAGTGAAAGATGCACTCCAAAAGCTAAGGAAACTATTTAGAAACAGGAAAATTACATTAGAATCAAAGAAAAGAATACTGAACAGTTCCATAGTATCAGTCCTCTTGTATGAAGAAGAAACTTGAAGCAACAGAAATGTGGTTCTACAGAAGGATACTGAGAATATAATGGACCAAACATGAGCAATGACAAAGTTTTAAGATGGTAACAAAAAGGACACTTATACTTAACACTGAAGTTCATATTTTGTTATTTTGCATTTTATAAGGAGCGTAAGACAAAGATGTGTCTTCTTTTCAACCTTTACAGTGAAGCAATTCTGAAAGAATTAGAAGTCCTACCAGGATTCATTATGGCAGCCACAATCTTAGCAACATATGAAGATACGATGGTGTTGATAGCAGACATAGAAAGGAAAATTCCGGAACTCTTACAGAAGGTAGTAGGGGTAAGTAAAAGGAAAGAACTAAACATCAACTGTAAGAAGATAAAATGTATGGTTTTCAACAAAAGAAACAGCCCAGTATGCAAATTACAAATTGGAGATATTAAAATTAAGCAAGTGCAAAAATTTGAATATCTAGGAAGTGTTTTAACAGAAAGTGTAACACCAAACGACACAGTGTTATAGCAAAAGGTGCCTTCTAAAAGTTAAGAGGGAACAATAAAAAAACAATCAAGAAAACAGTAGATTAACATTGCATTTATACATGGGTTCACTGCAATGTTTGAATTATTCCAGTGAAAAGACATATCTTTGTCTTACACCCCTTTCTATTTCTGTGCTTTTACTGAATTCATTTTCTAACATCCTACTTTGACAAAGTACAATGCATATAAATATTGACATAAAGGAAAGAATTTATTTGCCTTGAATCAGTAAAATTCAAAATTAATAGAAAACTTTTGAGTTGCAAAATTTTGTGCCTGCAAAATAACGAAGTATCAAAAAGATGGTTTTTCCATTGACACTGCTATTATTTTAACTAACTTTACTCCTCAACAATGTTTGTTGTTCTAAAAAGCAATTCTTAAGATTGTAACAAAACCTAAACATATTGTTCTTGAGAACTGATGACAAAATAATAAACACTATTTATTTATTGGGTTGTTTATATACACTATTATATTGTTTATTGGAATGGTTAGCAAAACATAGGCTATCAATCTGAACTTTATAAAATGGTAAATAATAAAGATTTCCTTATTTTTAATAATCCCATATTTTAATAATTTAGTAAATGTTTACAAATTTATGAATAAAAAATTGTTTCATATTTATTTCTTTATAAATTGGTAAATGATAAATATTGCTTTTGTTTTAATTGTATTAGTTTTTAGAATGTTGTAAATATAAGCTTATTCTAGTAAATAAACAATCTCAAAAATAAACAGTGTTTAATATTTTCGTTCTAAATTCTCAAGAACAAAAATTGACTTTTGTCATATGTTTAGGTTTTATTACAATTCTAATCATCGCTTTTTAAAATAATAAACATAGCCAAAGAGTGAAGGTAGTTAAAATAATAGCAGTGTCAAGGAAAAAAATATCCATTTGACTCTATGTTTTTCTGTAGGCATGAAGGTGCAAGTATTCCAACTTTTGTTTACTGAATTTAGATTAAGAATTATTAGCAAAATTACAATTTCAGATCTTTAGGACAATACTTTAAATTTGTTTGAAAGGACTTAATTGTGGGGTCACTGAATACCAGTAAATGTTTTACAGCCCTATCATGTTGAAACACAGATTCTGGTTTAATCACTGAAGTTAAACAGAATCACATCTAGTCAGTACTTAGGTGCATGACCACTTGGGAATACCAAGTGCTGTAAGCATAGATGTGCCGGTGGTGCTCAGAATGAGAAATCAGAGTTCAATTTTTTTTTTTTTACTGTGATGTTCACCTTGCACAAGGCCAGAGAGTCACTTGAAGTAGAGGGTTACAAATTAAGTGGCACAGTTTATGCGGATATGTGGGAATGATAATGGTTAACCCTAGACCTGAACAGGTTAAGATTGTACTGATTGGGGAAGCATCCTCTTGGGAGTCAGTTTCACAAAGCAGTGGCTTGTGGAAAGAAGTTTATTGAGTGGAACTTACATCTCACTGTGGATGGAATAAGAAGGGAATAATGGTGGTTTGCTACAATGTGTGTAGTAGCATGGCATGTCTTAGCTGTGAAGGTTAGAACTGGCAGAACTAAGGAATTTAGTTCATCTGAGCACTTTCCATGGAAATAGAGCAGTGAGAGGCTTACAATGATTCATCTGTTAGAAAGGTGTTGTTGGGTGGAAAATAATTTGTTGCCCACAAGGACTCTATATGGACTGGAAAGTGAAGACTGTGCAACTCCAGGCCATAGCAACAGTACTCCATTTTCGGCCTGATCTGGCTCTTGTAACAGTAGAAGATAGCAAGAGGCATCAGGTGGCATAGAGTGGTAGAGTGAACCAACTATTTTTCCAGCATCTTTAGTGTTGGATCATATGTATGAGTTCCACTTGAGATCTGGGTTGAGTTTAAGTTCCATGTACCTTCAGAGAGGCCTTGTTCTCAAGGCATGGAGCCTCCCTGGGGGAATCATCCCTTCATCATGATTGGTGATAGTTCAGGGTCCAATCAGCGAGGATGAAACATCATGGTTGTTACATTCACTTATATGCAAATACTTTTGGGCAATAATGAATCATAAAGAGACATGATTGCCCAAGCATGTCACACTAGAGCATTTGGAACTGTGGTATTATACTAAATTTGAAAGTTGGGATTTGACTTGAGGTTTTAACTGCCAAAGATTGTGTACCCTTATGCAAAACAAATATGTATATGTTATGTTTTCCAATTGCAACATTTACCTCATTCTGAAATAAAACAGAATTATGAATAATATAAAATATTCACTTTATAAAGGCAAATTAGAGATTGAATACAATTATGATATAATGTATTTAAGTTGTGGCTGTTAAATAATAGTTTCAGGCTATTATTTTTTAGTGGCAGTGTATTTTGACTCAGACCTTCTGAAGCTCACCTTTAAGGTCAAATGGTAGACAAAATAGGGATGTCAATTTTGATTGACTGAGCCAAATGTGGGAATGTTAAAGAGATAGAAAGTGATTTCAGGGAGTTAAGTTTGACATGTTGAATAATGCAGATGTGTTATTTTCATGTATGGAACTTGCACCTTGGTGGGGGTGATAGAGCAACCCCACTGGCTAGTTAAAAATGTACAATGTGT